GATACTGCATCACTGATGAGTGCGATACTGCATCACTGATGAGTGCGATACTGCATCACTGATGAGCGCGATACTGCATCACTGATGAGTGCGATACTGCATCACTGATGAGCGCGATACTGCATCACTGATGAGTGCGATACTGCATCACTGATGAGCTGTCTCTTATACACATCTAGATGTGTATAAGAGACAGAATTACTACCTTACTCAATTATTTCAACTATATCAAGGCATCAAATACACATGTTATGTAAGAGTTAATGTTTTTCTTTTTTATCCGTTAAGAAAACGGGGTTTTTTAAAACTTTTTTATTTGTTTTATTTTGTACTGAAATAAACAACAGTATATATACCCTACAGGCGAGTTCAGCGGCGCGGTGAGTAACTACGAGAAGTCGGACACTCATCGCTTCGAGGTGCCCCGCATGTTGTTCGACGAGCTGCCCTCGCTCGAGGAGTACATCATGCACTCCCAGGACAAGTTAGTTACCTGCTCTCAGGCTATATGCTGCACCTACGTACGCTTATACACACCAATACACCTACATACACCTATACGCTTTACCTACGTACACCTATACGCTACACCTCGTACACCTATACGCTACACCTACGTACACCTACGTATACTACACCTACGTAGACCTGTACGCTATACGCTACATACACCTATACCCTACACCTATACGCTACACCTACATACACCTATACGCTACACCAGCATACACCTATACGCTAAACCTACATACACCTATACGCTACAGCTACATACACCTATATGCTACGCCTACATACATCTATACACCTACACCTACATACACCTATACGCTACACCTCATCTTAGATTAAACACGTCAAACATAGTGCCTATTGAAGGTAGAGTTCGTTGCGCCCAACGCTGAAACTGTTTGAAGAGACTTGTAGTTTCCCGGTGTTGTGTCTTCTTCAAAATAATTTCAACCACGATTATCAACATTTATTAAATTTTAGTGTGATATTCTTACATGAAATTTTCAAAACGCAATATATATTATGAGCTATATTATAAAATATGATAAGGCAATAATAACGGAAGAATTTATTGAGCCTAACACAATTTTTGAAATGAAAGCAACCATTATTGTTAAGTTTCGCTCCACTCATAGGCGCTCTTAGTTTCATATAAACCGTGAGACTGCGTATTGGATTGCAAATAGGTCAAGTTATTGTTGAAAACAAATTTATTACTTGGAGGAATTGAATGAGTTCACGTTATGGGTGAATATTGGAAATTTTACCTGCATATTTAACATAAAAAAAAATTCACAATAATTTACGTTGGTGGAACTATTTTACAGACGACTAATTTTTTTATTTTTGGAATCAATCTAAATTTTCTTCACCACAAAATTGATGCTTGATCCCTAAGACTGCTGCATGATCCCTAAGACTGCTGCATGATCCCTAAGACTGCTGCATGATCCCTAAGACTGCTGCATGATCCCTAAGAC